TTTTTAAAATCCAATGTGTGGATCACATAATATTTCAAAAATTTTAACTTTTGAGTATAGATGATCCGCACTGTATAGATAATACAAGTCTACCAGGAGAAGATTATGACTATGACCCTATTGAAGATTTGAGATTACAATTCGAGCAGTTGGGAATCAATCAGGCAAAAATAGCTTGAGTAATACATGCGGTTTTAAAATCATCTCAATACAAATGTTCAAAGTGTGGTAAAACAGGTCATAATTCTCGCAACTGCCCTAAAAATAAAAAGAAGAACAAGTCTAGACGTTCTAACAAAAGCAGATCCAAGAAAAAAGGTAAGATTAATATGGCTACTAAAGATTCAGATTCCGAGTCTAGTACTAGCTCTTCTGACAATGATTCCAATTCTGGCTCTGACTCTGGGTCTGGTTCCAAATCAGAATCTGATTCTGAGAATGACTTAACTGAGGCTGAAATCTCGAAAATTATCAATGCTGTTAAATCAAAAAAAAAGTAAAGCCGAAGAGTAAATCATCCTCTAAGAAAATACCCAAATCTCGTAAGTCTAAACAGAAAGGCATTACCACTTCTAGTAGACTTAAAGAGTCATTGCAAAGCAATAAGTCCTGAAATAAATCAACTATCCTTGAGCAGAATATTCATCAAATTTTATTAGACATGCTTGAAAAGGTCTTACTCCCGCATCAGTTAGAGAAACTTAAATCTGAAGATAAATATTTAGGTGCAAAACACCCTGCTTCGCAGACTACTCTGGATTTTATAAATCATTGAGAACCAATCATCAGGAAATTAATTTAGTGTAAACTTGCATAAATCTTACGATGCCGACGTAATATTGTGTAAATCTTACAGTGCTGACGTAAGTTTTACACTTTTTTATTATTAAACTTACAATTGACACGTGTAAAATTTTTTTATATTTTCCGGATGATATCAGAGATAGCAGAATCAGATGATGAAGAGGAGACACTGGATGATCCTATGGAGATTGATTTTGTTCAAAGAAAGGAACCTGCCACAAGCCTTGCAACTATACCATGTAAAATCAAATGCTTAAAAATTCCAGCATTGGTACTCAATAGTGGGGCTGAGCCTCAATTACATCAGAAGATATTGTTAAATGTGTAAATTGGCCAATTGATAAATCAGAAAAATATGATCTTAGCAGTGTTGCAACAGTTCCAACAAAATCTATTGGCATTGCTCGTAATTTTCCAATAACATTCCCTCCAGGTTTTACTATACGTGAAGATTTTGTAGTTGTACATGTTCCTAAACCAACATTGATATTCCCAAACACACTTCTCAGAAATATAAATGCGCTATAGATTGGGGTAAAGATGAGTTGAAAATTCCTTTTAATGGAAAGGATCACATTATTCCGGTTACTATGCACAAGGTCAAGAATAAACTCGAAGTGAACTGTGCAACTGTAGCTCAAGATGATAAATCTTCAGTATCTGATCAAATTTCTCAAGAGGCAGAATGTGATGAGGATAAGAATGTACCATTAGAAAAATGGTGTGCTCCTGTGAACTTTAGCTTAGATTCTACAACATTAAAAAAAAATGCATGAATTGTGAGAGGTATGAAAAAGAAATGTATAATGCAACCAAAATTATCACCAATCTTAATGCTCTTATTTATTGTCACAAAGAACTACCCAGTAAAGAAAATAGAGGTTAGATAAATCGGTAAAGTCCAGCATCTATGACTCGTCAATTTTATATCCCGAATTTGATAAATTTTCCTTACCTTCTTCTACTGCATGTCTAATACAGGCTAGTGTATCCTCAGAATATAAGGGCTTTCCACCTGTTTTTTCTGTGGAGTCTTTGGCAATGACAGGTGGGTTGGATATTCGACTGGGCTTAGATCTCTTTATTTTTATTTGCTTATTTGGCTGTGCCACCTCAGCTGATACATTATCTAAAGATTGGGATTCTATATGTAGGACATTCATGGTAGAATTTGGTACATTAGTATTTCGATTAGAGTCGTCGTCATAGAAGTGAGGTATAGGCTGATCCCAAAGAACTCTATTAGATTCTTCTCCTCTCCAAATCTGATAAATACATTTTGTTGATGTTTTATACTTATCCATCAACTCATTTAAAATTTTATATCTTGGTTTTATATCATGACATTGCATAATATATGAATAATCTTCGGATGTGAACAGAGGTGCATCAGATCGTATACATACTCTAAGCATAGTTATAAATGTAAATACTATTTTTTTTTCTTTATGGGTACAAGATATTTATACACTCACTGGACAAAAATATATGAACATTTGTCAATCATCAAAAATAATCGAGTGACTTTGACGTAATAAAACTAAATATTTTATTAACCTAATCAATCCTATTTATTAAG